TTTCAGGCATGCCACTAAGTCTTGTGACCCTCTATAACATATTCTATGAAGCCTTTACTCTTTGTACATCCATCATTGCCCAAGATCCAGAAGGGCATCTCTACCACGGCAGAAACCTAGACACTGGAGTGTTTTTAGGGTTAGTTTTTCTTTGCTTGTGTATGGTGTCCATTGGTACAATAATTCAAATTACTGTAACTATAAGCATGATAGATGTGAAATTGAAGTAAGCATTGAGTTTTCTTTTCAGTTTTTGAATTGAAGTTTAATGTCTTATTTAACTGTATTTGACACTGGATTTGGTAAATGGGTTGTTTGCCTTAATTCCTGAAGCTTCTACTTTTTTTAGATTAGTTATCTTCCTTACTGCAGTTTTTTACTGGAGGTTAAGCATATTAAGCCTAGGGCATATCATGTTGTATCATATAATATGGTTGCAACAATAAACTGGAATCTGCACGAAAGTTATAGATGAAATAAACTCGATAAATGTGCACCAAATGTATAAAGTATTAGGGGCAACTCTCTGACCAAACTGTTCCCCATCATGCATTCTGCATGTACAATCAGCAGATCCTCTTCATGCAAATGTACTCTTATATTTGACTTTTATTAATTTATTTATTTATTTATTTATTTTATTTTTTTATTTATTTTTTTTTTTTTTTTTTTTTTTTGGTGAAGCTGGAGGTTTGTGAGGCTTCATTCAGCTGCTTCTGACCAGTTTTTCAGTTGTTGATCAATGGTTTTGACAGTGTACAGGATAGATATAAGCACATGTTTTAATTTTTTCATTATGAAATATTGATATTCAATGTGCAGAGACAATACAGTTTTTATAATAATGAAGTTCTGAGCCCCAGTCACTTTTGTTTCCTCTTTTAGTTTGACTTTATGCATTTCTTGATTCTGGTTGATCAAAATATTTGCATTTTTTCATTATATGATGTTGATAGATTAACTTACAAACCATTAGAACATGATGTAACTCTGCAAAGGGAATAGGTCTTTTTCTTTTGTAGAGTGATGTTTTGCCATTGTACTTGTACCATTGTCTAGGTTATAAATTTTTACCCAAAGTCAGTGGAGTCCAGCAATATATTTTTTTCCTCTTCTTTTACATAATTTACTGATGGATACCACTCTATAACTCATAGCATAAGCATATACCATCCATTGATTCATAAATTGAAGCTATAAGTTTACTCTTAGATTATACATACATATGTACTATTATTTCCATTCAGTTTTGATCATTAACTCTTTAGACCTAGGTGACATAACCATCATGTCATGAGAAAAGTTTGGCTGAGGGCCAGGTGACTGAAATATGCTACCATAAAAAGATTTAACTGAGAGCTGGGGTAGCAGGAATATGCTTTCATGAAAAAATTGGCTGAAAGCTAGAGTGACAGGAATGACAAGTATACAAAGCTCTTGGAGGGTGACCAGACTCAGTGGGTATTTGGGATGAGGTTCAGCATTATTTCCATTGGTAAATGAGTGTGGAATGTACCATCCGTGAACCATGACTGGAAGAGCGCTGGCTCCTGGGACAGCATTATTTCCATGCCCAGGAACCTATTCCAATGTGCCTTGACCAGCAGTGTAGAGTGTATTACAGGAGTATTAAGAAATGACAAATAACCAAATGTTAATTACTGTTAGAGTTACAGTCTAACTAGGGAGATGATTTAGAGTATCTGTAAGGGGTAGCGTACCTGTAACAGTCCATGTCCATCTTGATATAGCATATCAAATGACAAATATTGCCCATGGAAATTGGAAAAATAAAAAGTGCTTATGCAGAAAAAGAAATGATAACATTGCAAAGAGGAGGCAAGGAGTCTTGACACTGCACATACGTATTCATGTGGGCTTGGCTTACAAGTCACACACCTGGCGGAGTTGCCTCTGAAATAAGCCTATTGCCCAGATTTTAGACCATGTTCAAGTAATGAGGCAACTGGATCTAATGGGTGAATTATGTTCCACATCTTGAAAATCTGTGCTTGTTGTAGTTGAAGTTATTCTCAGCATTGCCTGTACTTCCTGTTTTTCTGTATTTTGTGCATAGGTAAGAACATGATTAGGAAAAGGAAGAGACAGAAAAATGGGGAAATAGGAACTACTAAGAGAAGCTAGATAGGAAATATTGGCCATCCAATTTTTGTTTTAAGAAGGTTGAGAGATTATGGTTTTACAAAAGTTATGTTGAGGTAAATATACACTGAACAGATTCATGATGACTGATACAGGTTGAAAGGTTGGTGATGACTGATACAGCTTTACGGATTGGGGATGAGAAGTATTTAACTATATATAGCCTCTGCATGATGTGGGGTCAGGGCTGACTCGGTAGTGGCTCCAGGTGATGGTCATTCATGTCATGGTCAAATTTGGCATGGCTCTGGGAGACAGGTCATTTGCATCATATTACAGTGATGCCTGCATTATATTTTATGCTGTTCTTCATTAGGACCCCACATACCTATGCCAT